TGGATTTCTGCTGGGTCTGTTGTGACTTCACCTTTTTTGTTCTTAATTGCATGGATTTGAGCCTTTTCTTTCCTTTTTTTGATAAGGTTGGCTAAAGGTTTATCAATTTTATTTATTCTTTCAAAAAACCAACTCTTTGTTGTTTGGGGTTTTTTTTGGACTGGGGATTGAACGCGGTACCTTGTGTTTGTGAGGCAGGTGGCAGAACCACTGAGCTAAATCCCCAGCCCTAAAACCAACTCTTTGATTCATTGATTTTTTTGTATGATTCTCTTAGTGTCCATTGCATTGATTTCTGGTCTGATCTTTGTAATTTCCTCTCTTGTATGAGCTTTGGTTTGTTATGCTCTTCTTTTTCTAGGAACTTGAGGTTCTGCATTAGGTTATTTATTTGAGTTCTCTCTTTTCTTAATATAGGCATTCACTGCTATAAATTTCCTGCATAGAACTGCTTTCCTTGTATCCCATAGAGTCCTGTATGCTGTATTGGCATTATCATTTACTTGTAGAAACTGTCTAATTTCTCAACAAGATACTGGCAAATAGAATACAGAGGGTCATCAAGAAGATCATACACCTTGACCAAGTTGGATTTATCCCAGGGATGCAAGGATGGTTCAACATTCATAAATCAATAAATGTAATACACTATATTAACAGAGTCAAGGACAAAAACCATATGAAACCATCTCAATAGATGCAGAAAGGGGATTTGACAAAATCCAACACCCATTCATGATAAAAACCCTACAGAAAATTGTAATAGAAGGTCTTTATCTCAACTTGATTAAGGCTATCTATGAAAAACCAACAAGCAACATCATGCTAAATGATCAAAAACTGAAAACTTTCACACTAAAATCAGGAACAAGACAAGGATGCCCACTATCACCACTCCTGTTCAATATTGCTCTGGAAACATTAGCCACAGAAATTAGAAGAGAAAGAAATAAAAGGAATAAAGATAGGAAAGGAAGAAGTTAAACTGTCATTATTTGCTGATGGTATGACACTTTACATAGAAGACCCCAAAAAATGGGCCAAAAGATTTCTAGACTTAATTGACAGATTCAGTAGAGTAGCTGGATATAAGGTCAACACTCAAAAAACAATAGCCTTCTTATACACAAATAACAGACTCACTGAGAGAGAAATTAGGGAAATAATTCCTTTTACAATAGCATCCAAAAAATGAAATGTCTAGGAATCAATCTAACAAAGGAAGCAAAAGACCTCTACAGTGAAAACTACAGAACTCTGAAAAAGGAAATTGAAGCGGATATAAGAAAATGGAAAGACATCCCTTGTTCCTTGGTAGGAAGAACCAATATAGTGAAAATGGCCATACTTTCAAAACTACTATATAGATTTAATGCAGTGCCAATTGAAATTCCAACAATGTACTTCACAGAACTAGAGAAAACCCAAAAATTCGTTTGGAACCAGAAGAGACCTAGAATAGTGAAAGCAATTCTAAGCAACAGAGACATGGCTGGGGGTATCATAATCCCCAACTTGAAACTATACTACAAAGCTACTGTGATAAAAATAGCATGGTACTGGCAAAGAAGCAGACCTGAGGATCAGTGGAATAGATTAAAAGACGCAGAAACAACTTCAATCATACTCAGCCACCTCATCTTTGACAAAGGAGCCAACCACCATCATTGGAAGAAAGATAGCCTATTTAAAAAATGGTGTTGGAAAAACTGGATTTCAACCTGCCAAAGATTAAAACTACACCCATATCTATCACCATCCACTAAACTAAGATCAAAGTAGATTAAAGAGCTAAATATTAAGACAGAAATGCTAAACTTGCTGGAAGAAAAGTTAGGTAGAACTCTTGAAGACATTGGCATAGGAAAAGACTTTATGAACAAAACCTCAGTAGCATGAGAACTAG